TCTCTAAATTTGAATTAGTAAAAATGTTTACTAATTTGAATTAATTAATGACTTTTTGCTTTTGAATTAGTCAATTTTACTAATAAATAGTAAGTTCTACTAATTTAATAGTAAAATTTACTTATTCAAAAGTCAGTTACTTTTTAATTACTTTTTGCTTTTAATTACTAAATTTGACTAACAAATAGTAATTTCTACTAATTTCATAGTAAAAACTTGACTAATAAATAGTAATTTCTACTAATTTCATAGTAAAAATTTGACTAATAAATAGTAATTTCTACTAATTAATTAGTAAAATTTACTAATAAACAATAATTTCTACTAATTTTTAATAATAAATAGTAGAATTTACTAATAAATAGTAATTTCTACTAATTTATTAGTAAAATTTAATTTCTACTAATTTATTAGTAAAATTTACTAATTCAAAATAGTAAACATTTTTACCAATTCAAATTTAGAGAAAAAAATTTTTTTTTTTAAATATTATATAAATAAAGCTAACAGTTAAAAGAAATTGAAAAAAAGAGAAAGGAAATAAAACTAATAATATAATAACAACAAGAACAATAAATAAATTATTAAATATAATAGAAAATTAACTGAATATAATTAATTGCCAACCTTAAATATTAATAAAAATTTTATCCTTTTTGCCAAATTAGACAAAGTAAATAAAGTAAACTGGAATCGGCTGAAAGTAAAATTTACCAAAAAAATAAAAACTACGTGTGAAGAAGAATTAATAAAAATAATAAACAAAAAGAAGGAGTCAGTTTTGCTATCCGCAAATTATTCCTCGTCTCTATGCGACTACCAGGGGATTAGTTAGGGCTAGATTAGGGCTTTAGGTAGGATCCACGTTAGGTGGATTTCTGGGGTACCTGCGTCCACGCTCGCGGTTGTACTGGCCACCGTACTTGCAGCGGTTCGCGGCGAGCTCCGTAATCTCTGGGATCCAGCTGGCGAACACCGCCTACACACCCACAATCATCCGTTTCCGTCAGAATAGAAACCCTAACTAAACCTCTCTATCAAGAAAGTGCCACTTTGCTTCACCACTTTTTTTTTATTTTTGAAAAAAAATTGAAAAAAAATCACTTTCACTCTTTTTATTAATTTATATATTATTTTCGTCATTTTTTACTTTGGGTTTTTTTTTTAGCTGAGAATTATTTTTGTTTTCTTGCAATTGGAATTCTTTTAGGGAGGAATTTTTAAAAATTATTTTCAATTTTTTCTATTATACAATTCGTATAGTGAAAATTAATTCAGAGTTTCACGATTTATATTTAGCTTATTTTCATGTGCGTTCTTTTTTTGTCTTTTCGTTTATTGTTTGGTTGTTATTAATATAATAGCGAAGTCAGTAATAATAATAATAGCGAGAAAAGTGAGTGACAGAGAAAAAAGAGAAAAAGAGTTGATTAATTATTAATTAATCGAAAATATAATTTTCTGAAATACGAATTTTTAAATTCGTATATTTTTTCTACTTTTTCGTAATGATGATGATAATTTTTTTTTTTGTTTTTTCACTCTGGCGAAAAATAATAACAGCGATTTTCAACTTAAATTCTTTTAACACTACAGACGATTTATTACAATGAAAAATTTTTTTTACCCTAATAATCGATTATCAAGTAAATATTTACTTAAATCAAGTCAATTTTTTCTTGAACTGCATAAATATTTACTTGAATCAAATAATTTTTTATTCAAATCAAATAAAAGTTTCATTGCACCAATAATTTTAGTATTTGAAGCAAATTCCATTTAATTGACTTGAATTTAAATTATTCGATTCAAATAAATATTTATTTGATAATAAAAAAATCGTTTACTTGAATCAAATAAATTTGTTTTTCAGAAAAAAAAATTAATTTTGTTAAAAAAAATCGAATTTCGACTTTTTGGAAAATAACCCACTTCTATTTTTCCCCCTCTGATAAAAATTTACCAAAAAGAAAAATTTCCTACACGATAAAAAAAATTTTTTTTCCTCTATTTAATTTAAAATTCAGCCATTTCTTCTTCACTTTTTGACACTTCCTACACAATGAATAATAAAAATACTAATTCTAGTTGTATATCCTACTAGAAGAAAATATAAGAAAGTACAAAAAAATGAAATGGAAAAAATTTTTCTTTCTCAAAATTCGTACATTCTTATTCTTTTTTTTTTCTTTATATAAATAATGAATTTTAAAATTCTTTTAAAAAAAGAAATGTTTCTCAAATTGTTTCATATTTCATGATTGTGTAAAGACACTAGGTATACAGTGAATATATGAATAGAAAATTTTAAAGTAAGAAACGACAAAATATGGTGCAGAGGTCGATTGTATATGTATATATATAACTCTCGGTGAAAAATCTTTTATATCATACGATGATGTTTCTTAAAAGTTTTCTTCTAGTGTATCATCCACAGATTTCACAAAAGAATGACAATGTATTTCTTTGTCGCTTTTGAGTGAGATCAAAATATAAATGGACAAATATTGAAGAAGTACATAATAAATATTTGAATTTTTCAACAATTCTAAATACATTCAATCAATTGCAATTGAGTATACAAGTGCAATTGAGTAGAAGAAATATAATTTAATGATAAAAATTTATGCAAAAAATTTCAAACTATTGTAATATTTTTAATTAATTGAATCAGGAATTAAATAAATAAACAGTGTACTTATTAAGGGCTGTGATAAATAAATAAATTATAGCATCTAAAATTTTGAATTTTGTCTATAATTAGTAGAAACAAGATTTTTTTAGTTGTAGTTAATTTTTTATAACAATTATTAGACACATATTTTTATGAAGAAGGCAGCAATTTTTGATATTGTTTCTATTAAAAAAATATAATTTTTGGGGTAGCAGACTAAATTGGCAGAAAAAAAATGAAAAGAATAAAAAAAACATGTAAGAAATATTTAACGAAAATATGTAAAAAAAATTATTCAAAAAATATAGGATTAATTAAAAATTGTAAATATTTATAATAAAAAATACGTTTTATAAAAAACTATTCAATTTTTCTGGTAATTATAAAGTTGTAAAGCTTAAACATTGCAAATATGAAACTACTAAAAATAGTTAGGAAATTGAAATTAAATAGCTAGATGATAAAAATTAAATTTAAATATTTTATTTGTAATAAGAAAATTATTTATTGTTAGTAAATATATTCAATATTTAAAATTTAAATTCAAAAGCAAGTAGAGAAAAAATATTTTTAAAAATCTTCAGAAAATTATTGAATAATATATTGAAAATTTGAAATAATTTGAAATAATTTGAAATAATTTAATATAATATTTTATATAATTATAATAATAATAATTAAAATATGTAAAAGAATATAATGTAAGTAAACGAATATTATATAAACAATTTAATAAATATATATTATGTAAATGAATAATAAATAATTATATATTATTATAAATATAAATCTATATTAAATGAATAAATTATGCAATATAATTTGACGCACTCCGAAAAAAGGTACCTAAGAAGCAAATTATATTGAGATTATGTTTCTGTCATTTTTTCCTTAATTTAAACTTTCTTAGTTCCATAAAACTGTAAACATTTTTTATTAATTATTTTAAATACAATAAAGACGTAAACATAATTTATTTATGAAAGTTGATTCTCTTTGTGAATTTTAATTACAAACATCACAAACATTAAAATTTTTGCTTTCTAGGTACCTTTATATAATATGTTTGGGAGCAAGTATAGAAAAAAGAATTAAAATATTTTCTGAAAATTAAATATCGATATTTACATGCGTAAAAGTGAAAAGTTAGTGAAATTTTCTTTTCTCATGATAAAATTGACTAACATGCTATTTAATTAAAAAATGTTTTTTTTCCTATAGAGTATAAAAATTAATCGAAAAAAAACCTACATGCAGGGACTTACAAAGCACAGCAGAAATTGAAGACGGATTCAATTTATTTTTGCGAATATTAATTCTTATTTTTTAGTTGAGACGATGAACAGAAGAAAAGCCATTGTTATAACTTCAAGAAAAAGAAGTGGACAAAAATTTAGTTGCATTGAGAATCAAGGGGTCTCAGTATAAGACAAAGCGATGAAATATTTAAAAAATATTTAAATATTCAAAGAAATATGTTATTATAAAACAATAGGAAAAGAGTTAATGATGAAAATTTGCTGATGATGATTTCCTAATTCAATAAAATTAATTGCAAAATGCTGAATATTTTATTCCTACCGAGTTTTTTGTTTGGACTAAATTAGTAAATTTGTGTCATGTTTTGTTTTATTTTTACCAACAATTTCTTTTTTGAAATCTCTTTATTTTAAATTACAAAATAAATTAAATAAATAAACTAAAAATAAATGTAACAAACAATAAATAAAATAAATTAAAATTAATAAACAAAAATTGTAAAAAAAATAAATCAAGCATGAAATGTAATAAACTGTAAACAATTTTAACAAAATATAATGAAATAAAATTATAAATATTACTATGAATTTTTATTACAAATTTTATATTTGCATGGTAAAAATTTTAGTAATGTAAATATTATAGTAAAAATTGTATTTGCATGATCAAAATAGTATTTTATACACAGTACAAGTTTACAGTAAAAATTTTATTTTTGCAAAAAAAATAGGTATTTTCGAAAATAAAAATATAATTTACTATTTACAAAACAGTTAAGAAAATTTTTTATGAAATAAAAAGAAAAATTGTTGATGTTTTCTTGTCTGAAAAATTCTATCTAAATAATTAATAATTAAATTTTAAATATATTACATATTTAGAGAATTACTTTTTTTGTTTCTTATTTTTGAAAAATGAAAATATATCGAAGTTCGTGTAGAAAATGTGAAAATAAATACACAGAGAATAATTCTCTGGATGTCGAGACGAAAGAGCGATAATACATACGGATAATAGAATTAATATAGACAGACACGACTGATGAGTGGATTTAACGTAATAATACCTCTTTCCGTGTTCCCGCTTGTATTCGCCGCTGTACTTGGACCTACTGCCTACGAGCTCTATTATCTCGGGTATGCTACTAGCAAAAATTGCCTGCAAGTAGAAATCATAACTGAAAAAGTCTATGTCACTACTTTTTGCTAGTTAGCTGGATTCACAACGCGTGCAAATTTTTTACTCAAATTTTTCTCTCATTCAGGAATTTTTTTTTTTTCTCAACATTATTATTTTAATTACAAATCTTTCAACTCAAAGTTATTTTATTTAAAAATTTTTTCTTCTTGAAATTATACTTTATTTATAATTTTTTCTTCACGAAATTATTTTATTTATAATTTTTCCTTTCCAAAATTATTTTTTTAATATTTTAATATTTGAAAATTTTTTTATTTATAATGTGTCTAAAAAAAACTAAATTTAAAAAGTATTTTTTATAAATAAGTTGTCACTAAAATTTATTATTTAATTGTTCTTCTTATTTTGCTATTTATTTTCAATTTACTACTTTATTATTATTTATATTATTTACTTATTTACTTTTTCTTGATTTTTATTATTTTATATCATAATATCAAAATTTATATAATTAACTCTTGCAAATAAAAATTTTTTCTATCTTTATTGTAAAAAAAAATTATTAAACAAATTTTTCCATTTTTCATCATTCAACTTTCTAGTAAATTGAAATTAAAGTAAATTACATCTTCAATTTACTTCGAAATTTTATTTCAAACAATTTTAACAAAGCTTTAAACAAAATAAAATCGAAAACATAAAAAACCGACAAAAAATACTTGGAAGAGAAACTAAAAATTTTGTTTTATTTATTTATAAATAAAGTGAAAAATGAAATGATTAGAGAAACGTAAATAAGAGAAAATGAAAATTGAAGGATGAAAGATGAAAACTTGCTTTGCGTTGAGTTGAATTTTTTGTAATAAACCTTCAAAAAAAAAAAAAATGAAAAATACATTTTGAAAATTTATTTTTATCCACCTTCATTAGCAAGTTTCTCTCGTGCACTTTATTTAATACTTCAGACATTTGTAAGTACAGTAATAACCAAAAAAAAACTTAAAAAACTTTTTTTCAAACACGAATAGGTATTAGTATTTTTTCAGAAAATTAAAAATTATTTCCTACCGAAAATAAAAAAAAATATTATTTAAAACAGTTTTATTACTATTTTTATTTTTAACAGTTTGAAACTAATTCTATTAATTTTATTAATTTTATGAATTTAATATTTTAACAATTTTTATATACTTTTGTTTTTTAATAAGCAATTTTTATTTTTAAGTTTATTATTTATGTGATAAATTTTTGTTTGCAAAGAATAATTTGTGGTAACATTATTATTTGTATTTTTGATTATTAATTGTAGTGTTTATTTTTTATTATTTTAAATAAAATTAATTTCGCCTAAAAATTGGAAGTGTCACAGAAGCAAAAAAGCATCGCTAGTAGATTACAAGTAGTAGGGGAAAATTAGGACAAATTTTTAAAGAATATAAATTATTAAACTAAGAAACTAAGTAAACAACTAATTAACTAATTACTATAGTAATTAAATATTTAAATTATATCTAAATCTAAATTCTTTGTCAGTGTTTTAAAATTATTTCTGGGGATATGAAAAACATTCGATGCAAGTAAATAAAAATGAAATATTAAAAAAATCCTTCGATATGAAAGTTCTGTTTTGACAGGACTTTTGAAAATAATAATTTAATAAAAATATTATGATAATAATAATAATAATTAAGTTTGTTTAGAAAAACAAAAATTTATATTTATTTATAAAAATAAAAATCTATTCATTAAAATAAAAATTCATTTATTGAAATAAGAATTTATTTATAAAAATAAGAATTTATTTATAAAAATGAGAATTTATTTATTAAAATAAAAATTTATTCATGAAAATAATAATTTTTTTGTGCAATAAACATTTTCTAAATAAAACGAGGGCCCCTACTTCTTGTCTTTTTTCGAATAGGAAAAAAACTATATCTATTTTTTCAAGCATACACAGCGCGAATTTCAAGCTAAGGAAAGAGTTTTATTATAAATATAATATAAGACGTTCTTCAAGAATAGATTTTCATCAAGAAAAAACTTTACAATAAAACTTGAAAAAAATATTATAAGTTTTTTCTTTGAAAAAACTTTAGAATATATAAAAATTTTATACAATTTTTTCAAACAAGCCTTAAAAAGGAGAAAGAGAATAATTATAAGCTTTAAGAAAAAGCGTTTACTTCTCATAAAGACAGCATTTTAAGAAAATAGAAAAAAAAACGTAATATAGTTAAAAATTTTAAGTAATTATTATATAATATAAAATAGAATCTCAAAATAGAATAGAAATAAAATAAAAATAATCTACGAATTAAAAATAAGATATAGTGAAACAAATTTAAAGATAAAAGATAATAAAAATTCTAATTCTACACCATGCCTAAGATATATTAAAAAATAGAAATAGAATCGTATAAGAATATACTTAATTTTTATATTCAGCTGGCAAACACATAAAAGTCGAGGAAAAATAGTATCACGAATAAGAAGATTAAATTTGCGATTATAAACCTACGATTTTTCATTTCAGAAATAAAATAAAGTTCCAAAAAAAAAGTTATTAAAAATTTTCGTTTCATATTTCAATGAGTTTATTATATTTTTCTCTTAAATTTATTCATGCCCAGTGGGAATTCGCCAAGGGCAAAAATTGGTTAAATATTGAACCAAGTCCAGTCACGAATATTGGCCCAATACTCAATGCCAAGTTTCGAATTTAAATTAGTTTTGGAAATGGCCCTAAACTTTCAAAAAAGGAAAAATTTTTTCAAACAGATGTAGAATTTATTTTATTAATAATAATTATTAATATTCTTAGAAATTATAATTAATAATTATTAATATCATTAGTAATAATCATTTTTAACGATTATTACTAATAATATTAATAATTTTTGATTATAATTTCTAAGAATATTAATAATTATTAATTGTCCTTACTAAGAATATTTATAATTGTCAGCATTAATATAAGTAATAAAAATTAATCACTGATTAATTATTATTAATAATATTATTAGCTCTAGTAATTAATAATTAACGATAATTATTGTCATGTTATTCTATAATCAGAAATATTTATCACATAACGAAGCAAAATAGTCTGAATAAATCAACTATTCTTATACTCCGTCGACTTCATGTCGTTTGCGAGCGAATTTTCATGCCCTCTAGGCGGAAGTTCACAGAAATGTTTTGGCGCGAAATTCAAATTCGAAAGAAAAAGATAAACGAACCAAGTGAAAATAACTAAAGATCATTTTCTCCAATATTCGAATTCGAATCAATATTTAAATTCGCAAAACTCGGGCAAATATTGGCTCAATATTGGCACCAGTTTTTCCACAAAATTAGTTCAATATTTTCCATTTTTTTTTTTGCTAATCGTATTTAGACCCATTTTGGATCATTTCCCACTGGTTCGGAGTTTTCTTGCTATTTGTATATTCTAATCAATACACGAGTATTTTTTTTACTAAAAAATATTTTTTTAAATTCATTTTTTTTATTATAAACCAGAGTGTATATTTTTTTTAATTCAAATCATGGGTGGAATTAATTGAAAAATTTCAATTTAACAATGTCAGTCACTTCCCTTCGCTTATTTTAATATTATATATATATATATAATATACATACATATATTGTGTGTATATATATCTAGTGAAAAAAACCAGAAGAAAATTCGAGATGACGCCAAAGTATTCGCAAATAGAGCGAACTTTGTGAGAAATATAATATATATTTATATATATAGGCAAGCGGCTAGATCGTTAAAAAGATTTTGCAGTGACTTCAGCAGCGTTTGAGCATACGCAGAACACAGACAGATAATAATATACAGACAGGGCATACAGTCAAGGCACAGACACCAATTCGTCATATTATAAAATCCTTAAAAAGTTCGAGGTTCAAAGCGAAATACAACAACTTGCCCCAATTCCACTTCATTTATTTTACGTTAATAATTCTTTATCTCGTGTTTTTATTTTCTCTCATTTTTTTTTGTTCGTTGTGTACTTAATTTTAAAGTTATCAAGTTTATTTTTAAACAATAGTTTAAATTTAAATAATCTTTTTTTTAAAAAAATCGTAACTTTTTTTGGGAAAAAAATACTTCTATAAAATATTAATTATTTATAAAATAAAATTTTTTAATTAATCAGTTTTCATTGATAAGTATTGTTAGAAATTTCGAAACATTTCGACTTGAAAATTATGTCAAATTAAAAAAATAGAAAATACTAATTTTGCAAATGACGAGATTTACTTTTCAATTTTCGCATTTCTGAAGAAAATGAGTGGAATTAAGGAAAGTGAACCAAAGAAATCTTGATTAAAAACAAATCAGGCCATCGTAAAAAAACTTAATTTCCCTTTTTTTTTGCGAAACATAAATTATTTCTCGACATTTGGATAAAAATAAAAAATAATTATTACAATTCGTATTTTTTTCAAAATTATTTTTTTTTCTAATTTACTCGAATCATAAAAAAACATCAAGAAACAAAAAAAGCTAGAAAAAAATCGATTAATTATCATTAATAATAATTTTATTTTTTAGTCTAAATATAGTAAAACCACTATTTAAAAAAAAAAATATTGAAAAAATTTTAAATCGAAATTTATTACAGTTCCACAATAATAATTCGAGAAGAAAAGATTGGTTTACTTTTGAGTGTTGCCAAAAGAAAATTCTCCCGATCAAAGACCGTAAAACCGTAAATTGCCAAAACCAATATAGAAATTGAGAACAAAGTCATAATTTTCATTGATTGTAAAATTAGACGAAGAGAATGTAAATAAATGACCTCACGAGTCTAATTTCACCTCAAGTCACGATCACAATGTATATTAAATAAAAAATATTTCTCTAAAATAATAAATCAATGAAATAAAACAAAATTAATAGATAAAAATACAACTCCATTTATTTAATATAAAATTTAACAATTAATTAATATATTAATTAATTAATTAATTAATTAATTAATTAATATATTACTTTAACAAAATATTATTACTATTTTGATTATAAAATATTAATATAATAATTTAACACATTATTATATTATAAATTAATACAATTTGTTTTGTAATAAAATTATTTATAATTAATTAATATATATAAATATATCTTTTTCAGTACAACCAGAGAAACATGTTATTTAAAACAAATATAATTTATTTGAGTTAAATAAAAGTCAGAGCCCTCTTTTTTTAATTTTAGACAGAGCCTATTTGTTTTAAAAAATTATATTCGACAAAAATATAAGTTTTACTTGAATCGAATAGAAATTTATTTTTAACAATAATGAAAAGTTGGCTCTGAGTCAAATATCCCTTTTTCTGGTTGTAAATAAAATAATTTAATTTCAAAAAAAAATAAAAATATTTCTTTTCGTAATTTTTTGCTCTTCAAATGAAAGAAAAAAAAATTGAAAATAATAAGAATAGAATTTTTACGATGGCCTGTTAATCCTAGTTGATAAAATTTTGAACAATCGAAAAGTTTATAACTTCAAAGAGAAATTATTTTTTTTTTCAAAAGGGGTGAGAGAAAAAAATATTTATTTCGTTTTTCCTACTAAGAGAATAACTATCCTATGGGAACTCGTAAATATCGCAGGGGGAAAAAAAGGAAAAAAAAAAAAAATTGATAAATACCGGAAGGGTGTCACTTGTAATGTGAATCATTTAAGGATCTTTTACGAACAAGTGAGGCGTGTAGATATATATGTATAAATATATATAAAAGTACGAGTATACGATATAGGTCGTTTCGTGATCCTAGTGGCATTTCGTATTCCGTATTGCATAGGAATATCCTTCGAATAGCAATCTCCCTCCCGCCCCTTGAGTATTTTTGCTAAAGCATTCGATTCGTTCTGGACCAGAGCCAGAAGATTGCAAGTGACATTACCAAGCCGTTTCTTTTTTATCGATGCGTTTTTCAACTCACTTTAGTATATACGAGTATTCTCTGTTTTTTTTCCTTATATCGAACGAAAAACTATATACTAGATACAAGATCGTTAATAAAAAAAAAAAAAAAAAAAAAAAAACCGAAATCCCCATCTACTCTTATTGGATAATTTCCATTTTCTTTTGGTAATATTTGGAAAAGAAAAACAGTATAAAAACAGTTATAGATAAATAACTAACTTTTCCTTTCTACTTGGATAGTTTATAGGTACAAATTTCATAAATTATTTTCTTTTTTTTATTTTTATTTCCTTTCCTTTTCCTTTTTTATTTTCTTTACTTTTTTTATTTTGTTTCCCTTTCTTTTCCGTTTTTATTTTTTTCTTTTGTTTTTCGTTTTTCTTTTCTTTTTTATTTAAAATCATATTCATCATAAATTCATAATTATATTTGAGTTGAATTTTGAATTTTCGTTTTGTACATTTTTTTATCACTATACGACAGGAATACGAAGTAACCATGATCGTGTTTACATTGGATTGCTTAGCACAGGTTTAAAATACGACATTTTAGTAAAAATCTGAGTTTAAATTTAGTAGTGACGCAAAATTGAGAATTGAAACTGGAAATAATTTATTTTATTCACAGACAAAATAAGAAAAAAACAATATTTATGTTAACTAATTAAAGAAAAAAAAATTCAATTGAAAAAGCGTTTAGCAAAAAATGGAACACTACATAAAAAATGACGAACAAAATTCAAAAAAATTACCCACTTGAGTAATATTATAAAAAATTTATTAATAATTCAAGGCCAATTTACTTCTATAAAAAATTTCACAAGTTTTCAAAAGAATAATAAAACTAAAAAATAAAAAAAAATAAAATAAAATGTAAGAAAAATGCATAAAAAAATTATATTTTATAAAAAATACATTTTGTATGTAACAATAAATATTATTTTATTATTATTTGTTTCAAAAAAATATTTTCTTCAAAGAAAAAAAGAGGGGAAAAATAGCGTATTTTAAACCAGCGTTACGACACCAATTGTAAACGGAGTCTAAAATATTTTTTGCCAATAACGTTCCTAAAAGTATAGGCATATGAGGCAGGTAGCCAATTATTTACTATATTTATTGTAAAAAAATAATTATTTTCCTACTATTTTCCGATTTTCTTTATTATTTCTAATTTCGCGATTTTTAATTACGCGTTTATTTTCCAATCACACGAAAATATTTAGAATTAGAAAAAAAATTAATTCTAAATATTCTAAATATTAGAATATTTAGAATTTGTCGGTTTATTTACAAAAAAAAAAAAATATGTAATAAAAAATAAGGTGAAGCTGATCGGTGACTTAAGTTGGCCTTGATTATTATAACTTAACATAAAGACCTAATTCGTTATTTTCCACAAACTTTATTTGGAACGTAACATTTTTTCCAAATCTTCATTGATTATTAAATTATAATTTTTATAGAAAATATATTAATATTTTTCAATAAAAATTAATATTTTTTCAATAAGAATAATAAAATTAAAAAAATTGCTGAACATAAATAAATTTTCAATTACAATCATATTGTCCGTTGAAATTAAAGAGTTAAGTCCTCAAACCTTTTATAAAACACATGTCAGTATACCCGTGACTTAATAAACGTTTTTTCGAAGCTTAGGAAATTTTTTTTTTTCATTTTCAATTCCATTGTCCTTGACAGAATTACATTTCGAATGCTTGGAAAAAAGTTGCAATAAACGAAGCTCTCGTTTGAAGGGTGATAATAAAATTTTTTTCTCGAAGGATTTTATTGTCAGAAAATTAGTTTTGGAATTATTATTATATTATTAACATGGATTTGTTATTTTTGTTCATTATATATATATATATAAGAATCGTGCATACACCATGCATATATATGTATATCACCATTCAAACCAAGTATTTCACTTTTTTTTAAAAATAGGTACTTATTTACGTTCTCCAATAAACTCTTCAATTATAAAACTAAATACAATTTTTTTATCCACAATAGCCAATTTTTGTAATTTTTCATCACTTTCAGTATTTATTATAATTAATAATTAATTAACATATAATTATTAATTAATAATTTGTAACAACAAATAATTATTTAATTAACGCATAATTAATAATGATTGATTTGCAATAATAAATAATTATTCATTTAACACATAATTTTTAATTTATTGTAAAAAGTGATTATTTAATTAACATAATCAATTTGTTACAATAAACTAACAATTATTAATTTTTAATTGATTCGATTTAATTATTTCTTAATTTCTTATTTTATTTATTTTTTCTTTAAATTACAATTTCCAAAATAAAAACTCGAAATTATCTCAAATTTTTGAGAATTTTTTTAAATAAAGAGATTAATGGAGAACGTTTCTAGTCTAATTTCTGAAAGAGAAGTCTAAGCGCGTGTAGTCGCTGCTTTCATTGAACGTAGAAATATAGAGCAGAGATCACGTACAAAGCCACCACAAAAATAGAAAAAAGTTGAGAGAACAAAATAGTAATAGTCATTTTTTTTTTTTTTGTTTTTTTTTGCGAAACGTTTTCATGAAAGAAGCAAATACAGGCGCACATAGCAACGTGAAATGTGCGAAACGAATAAAGCATCAGCGCAGCGAAAGAGGAAATTTTATATAATATAATTTTCAAGATAGCAACATCGCGCATTAAAAAAAATATTTGGACGTAATTTATTTTTTATAGCAAATTTTTTTACTCCCCTAATTATTTTTTTTTATAAAAAAAATTTCTTTTACTTCCCCATTTATTTTTTAATAAAAAAATTTCATTTAACCCTAGGCGAAAAAGAAAGAAAAACACGCATATTAGTAAAATTAATTTTTTTTTTATCCAAAAGAAATATTTTATACTTATTAAAAAAAAAATATTCGTTTCGCACTCCGTGGCAAAAATTAATTTTTTTTATACAGAAAGCCGAGATCCGCTTCCTAAGGGAAAAACCTCAAAAACAAAAAATTTATACCGAAATTCTACAAAGCCAAAAAAAGAACTTGCGTGTAAATTATATTTTTTTCGAAAAATTTCCATTGTTTCATAAATAGGAGCAAGCCCCGGCCTTCTTTTGTGACGATATTTTTTAACGCCTATTGCGTTACTAATTTTTTTTTTTTTTTTTTTTTATTAATTTATTAAGGAAAAATAAAGTATTTGTACTTTAAAGTCTTCTCTAAAATGATAATTAAAGGAAGCTTACCAAACCGACGAGTAGAAAAAATACTAGGAATGTACGGCCGAGAATTGTATTGCAGAAAACGTCACCATATCCGACTGTTGACATAGTCACGATCAGGAAATACACGCATGTCCAATATGAAAGCTGTTGTGGATTCTTGAACTCGAAAGGGTCCCCTGAGTTTTCAAGCTGTGAATATTAAAAAAATATTTATTTGTATAAAGACAAAAAAAATATATCCCAGGCATAGAATTTATATTTGTTGAAAAATAGAGAAGAAAAAACAGTAAAATTTATACACTGCGTCGACAAAAAGAAAAAAACTGTAATTTCTAGTTGCTAAAAACAGAAAAATTAAAAGTAAAACAAAAAAAAAAATTAAAAAAGAGAAAAAAGTGCAATTTTTACTTTTTATGAAAAGAGGAAAAAGAATATAATTTATACATGTTGAAAAATAAGAATGTATCTATTCTTGTTACCAAAAAAAAAAAAGTTTATTAAAAAAAAATTCAGTTAAATATACTTTGTTATAAAAAAAAATATTTAAAAAAATCCAATCACGAAGAACGTTTTGAAAGTAGAAAAACTAGAAAGAAAAAATATGTAAAAAATATGTAAAAAAAAATGTAAAAAGCAGTAAATTAATAAAAGTAAAGTAAAAATAGTAGATAAATAAAAAAAGTAAAAAAAAATATGTAAAATAAATGTGAAACAAAAATAAGTAAATGAAGTTTTGAAACTTTTATTAAAAAACGGGGTTAATTTTCTTGCGTGTTGTAAGAACATAAGAACCATGTAAAAAGTTGCAGCAAAAATAAAAGAAAAAAGAAAAATAATTCCGTGGAAAAAGATTATTTTTTCTAATTAGAAAGTATAAAGTCTTGGAAACCATGAAACTATATTTTCAGCAAATTTTTCACTTTTCGGGTGAATTATCACGAATTTTCTGGTTTTGTGATTCTTAATTCACTCTTTTTAACCCATATGGAAATTGTCAGGATTTTAAAAATGAATAATAATTAAAAATTTCAAATTGAATTAAATAACAATTATAATGCTCTTACTAATAATAATTATTATTGGTAAGAATTATCTATTATTATTATTATTAACCCCTTCGCAGTCTAGTTGAAAATCGCTTGTGGTCCAAAAACGGTCCGAAAAAAAAGTTTACAAAAAAATATGATTTAATCATATATAAGGTTTTTGGGGTCGCTGAATTCGAATTTGAGGTTAATTTTTGAAAATTCAAAATGGCGGATCCAATATGGCGACCAAATATGGTGGATAATTTTAAAATTAAAGCGTTTTAAGGGAAATTCATTTCTCGGGGGTTTTCGAGGTCGCTGAATCCAAATCTGAAGTCAGATTTAAAAAATTCAAAATGGCGGACCCAAAATGTCGACTTCAAAAAAAAATTTTTTTTCAGATTCCCTTAAAACTCGTTACTCGGGGGTTTTCGGGGTCTCTAATTACAAATATGATGTCAGATTTTCAAAATTCAAAATGGCGGATCCAATATGGCGGATGATTTCAAGATTGATGCGAAAAAAATATGAAGTTACCTCAAAAACCCCTGAGTAAACATTTTAGACAAATTTGTCAACATTCAAAAAATTTGATCGACATATTGAATCCAAAATTTAGCATTTAGAAAAACGAACATCAAATTCGAATTCAGCGACCCCAAAAAACCCCGGGAACGGAATTTCGATCAAAACGCATAAATTTTGAAATTATCCGCCATATTGGATCCAACATTTTGAATTTTGTAAAACGAACATCAAATTCAAATTCAGCGACCCCAAAAACCCCCGAGAAACGAATTTTAATCGAATCGCATCAATCTTGAAATTATCCGCCATATTGGATCCGCCATTTTGAATTTTAAAAATCTGACATCATATTTGTAATCAGAGACCCCGAAAACCCCCCAAGTAACGAGTTTAAAGCGAATTTGAAATTTTTTTATTTTTCGAAGTCAACATTTTGGGTCCGCCATTTTGAATTTTTTAAATCTGACTTCAGATTCGGATTCAGCGACCCCAAAAACAGTAGTATGTACTTCGCTACTAAAATCAAATCATGTTTAGTATTTTTTTTTTGAGATGGCCATATATGGCCACAGACGCAAAGGTGGCACGACTTTTCGTGGCCATATATGGGCCATGGACTGTTAAGGGGTTAAAGGAAATATTTAAATTTTTTGTTATTTAATAATTCACAGTAACAATAATTAATAGTAAAATATATAATTAATATGTAATTAATTAATATATAATTAATAACACAATAGAAAATAATAAAATAATTAATAATATAATATAATTAAAAAGAAAATAACTAATTAAGTATAATAATCATGAGATACTTTTAATAATTCACTTCTCGTGTTTCATAAAATTTGAAATTCGCGCCATTATAATTCTGCAAATTCCCGTCCAGACGGCGTGAAAACTCTCTTGCAAACGAAATGAATGGAATTTGCAGAATTTTGAAATGAAACACAAGGAGCAAACTAAGTAAAAATATAATTCACGGAAAATTTGTTGCTAAGAAGAAAAAATAAACTCTTATCATTAGAAAATCTCTCCGGCAATGGAAACAAAACAGAAATGCAAATTAATATAAAATATAAAACCAAGTTTTATATTTTCTTAAATTATTTAAATTGTAAGAATAAGAATTTTTTTCACTTCTTTTCATTAAAAGACTAAAATTTTGTTAAATATTATGTTTTGTCAAATTGAAATTATTTTTTTTCTTTACTTTAAAAAAAAAAAATTAGAAAATTATTAAACAACTGTGATTAAGAAATAGAAAATTTATTTATTTTGCATTATTTTTCTTTATGAATCACAATTTTTTTTAACAAAATATATTATTTTGTTTTAGAAAAAAAATAAAAATATTTGCACAATTTCTATTTTTACTCTTATTTTTGGAACAGGATTTTCCACAGGAATTAAGACAATCAAAAATTTTAAATTCAAACCTCTTTTAAATTAAACAACTTATAAAAGTATTGTTGTAAAACATGAAGATATCGATTGCTCCGAGTCGAAGACTCAGAGTGATCGATTTCTTTATGTTTTCTAATAATGATTATTTTCTAAAATTTTAAATTATTTTTTATGAAAATAATAATTGAATTCCTTAAAAAAATTTTATTATTTATCAAAATAATTGAATTCCTGTGAAATTTTTATTATTTATGAAAATAATTAAATGTTTGCCTTTGCATACAATTTTATTAAATTTTTTTTTTAAATAATTGAATTCTTTTTGGAAAATTTTATTAAAATAGTAGATATTGAAAATAATTGAAATTAGAAAAATGCATTTTATTTTTGAAAATAATTGAAATTAGGACAAGAATATTTTTTTGACATTTCTGAAAATAATTGAACTTGGGAGAAGAATTTTGTTATTTATAAAGATAATTGGAATTTTTACTAGAATTTTTTTTAAATTTTGAACATAGTTGAATTTTATAAGAATTTTATTTTTTTTAAATAATTGAATTTCTCCAATTATTTGTAATTTCTCCAAAATTGAATTTTTTTAGTGTTTTCAACAAAAATTTAAATTAGAAAATTTATAAATTCTATTATTTTAAAAATTTGCTAATTTTATTTAAAAAAAAAGGTAGTAAGAAGTTAGCCGCGCGCATTAGCGCTCGAATTTTTGCTAGTTATTAATAGAAAATACAAAAATAAAAAGAATAAATACAAATTGAAATAGAGAATTAAAAAAGAATGGAAAATAAAAGAAAGAATAGAAGGATGAAAAGAATATAAAGAATAGGAAATAAAAAAATACCATCTGACAGAAGAGAAATAAAGAAAAAAGTATAAATAATAAAAAAGATTTCCCTGGAAAGAATACATATATGAAGTTAATCAAAAAAAATTTTTTTTTTATTCCCTACCAAATGTATAATGCCAGCAGCAGTCAACCATACGGAGATAAAAATGGATACGAGTTGAGCGAGGCGAATGGAGCTCGATGTTTTTAGAATGTTGAGGTACTGGAGGATGTCAGGGACTGTCATCAGTCGTAGGGCTCGAAGGAACCTCAGTCCGATCCACGTTCGATCAAGATAGATCGAAACGAAAGACGGTGGTATCGTAAAGTAGTCCACGAACGAATACATCTCCAACATGAACCACAGCTTGTCACTGGCGGCGATAAACTGAAACAATTTTTTTTATTTTTGTTGTTATTATTTTACTTTTATTTCCACTCGACAATTTCTATTCAACAATTATGGGTAAGCACTTTTATTCAAAGCTTTATATTTGATAAGTAGTGAATGTCAGTTATGTGTCAGACACAATGTTACAATTGTTGGACAATTATTTTTAATCAGATGGTTGTACAGGCGAGACAGGAAGCGTGGAAATTTCATTCTTATTTAAGTAGTAAAGGTTTTTTTTGGTCAGACGACAATTTGTTGCTTAATGCCAGTAGTAAAAATCCGTTTCAGTCAGACAAAATCGATTTAACAGAATGGGGACATTTTTTAATTTCAGTAGTGTTTCTGTGTTTTTGTCAGACTACAATTTGTTTCCATCTGCAAGTAGTAAGAGTCCGTTTTAGTCAGACTAAACATTATACAGAAGGAAGAACATTTTTTTTTTAAATAAGTAGTAAAGTTTCGTTTTAGTCAGACTAAACATTAAATAATAGAAGGAAGAAAATTTTTTTATAATAAGTAGTAAAGTTGTGGTGTAGTCAGACAACATCTACTTGCTTTACACAAGTGCCTTTAAGTGGTAGTTGTGTGTTTTCGTCAGACTTCAATTTGTTGTTCTGAGACAAATAGTTACGTCAGTTTTAGTAGCAATAAATGTCAGTTGTAGTTAGACAGAATGTTGGGCGTGGTGAAAATTTGTGTAACAAGTAGTGAAGGTCATTAAATGTCAGACAGAATATTTGGCAAGATTGAAATCATCGGATCAGTAGTAAAAAACAGTTTACGTCAGACGAAATGTTTGACATGATTAAAATGTATTTGTATGAGTGGTAAAAAATACTTTACGTCAGACAGAATGTTTAACATCGTAGAATTTTTTGGTATCAGTAGTAAAAACAGTTTATGTCAGACAAATTTGTTTTCAGTCTTACAATATTAATAGAAATAGTAAAAAAAGAAATTAGTTATTTTATTTTTACAGCAAGTAGTAAGAATCCGTTTTAATCGGACAAAACAATTAAAACTGATTTATTGACAATAATAAGTAGAAAAACCTTTAAATGTCAGACTAAAAAGTAAAAATTCTTAAAAATTATGTGTAAGTAGTAAAAGTGAGTTACAATCAGACGGGATTTTTTTCGTGTTTAAAATTTTTTTCTAACTAGTAGTAATAGTCAGTGTATGTCAGACAGAATATTTGTTAATATTTAAATTTCTGTATTAGTAGCAAAAATTTGATATTAAATAGATTGATATGAATGCCTTTATGTTGACTTTAAGTAGTATAAATAGTTTTTAGTCGGACATAACGGTTAAATTAAAACTATTTTATTTCTAATAACTAGTAGAAAAAGTGATGTTTTGTCAGACTGAAAAATAGTTATTATAAATAGTAATATCAATTTCAAGACAAGATTTTTTAATTTTACATAAAAGATTAATTAGTAGAATAAGACCGTTCCTGTCAGACGGACCTAATATTCCAAATTTAACAATTTTCTAAGTAGTAGTAAAATTACGTTTTAGTTAGGGAAAAAGATCTTAATTCTTCCACCTTTTTTGTTAGAGTAAATTAAAATTTAATTTTATGAATTATTGAAATTTAAATAAGTAGTAAAAATTGCCTTTAGTCAGACAAGTTTAAAAAAATATTATTTTAGTACTCAAAGTACTTTTTGAACAAGAAAAATCATTTGAAAATTGTTTTATTGATGCTGTAAGTAGTAAAAAGTCCTTTTTGTCAGACAAATTAGGAAAATATGCCACTCTTTTCTTGAAACGATAAGTAGTAAAAGAATATTTTAGTCAGACAAAACGGTTAAAATTTGTCAACACTAATTATCTTTCACACATTGTAAAAATATAATTAAACTAAATTTGAATTTATTTTTATTCAGTGAATTTTCATTGTTTCGGTATTTCTTAAAAATCAGTAGTAAAAATTGACTTTAGTCAGACAAATAAAAAAAACTCTTCATTTTAGAACTAAAAGTCCGTTTTTTGGCAAAAAAAATTTCTATAAATTTTTTTATTACTACTATATAAGTAGTGAAAAAATCCCGTTTCAGTCAGACAAAACGCTTGAAATTTTGTCTATTTTGGCTCTAAGCAGCTCGAAGCAATAAAAGTTCATTTTACTCCAATAAAATTGTACAATTTCTTTTAATTTTACTGTTAAGTAGTAAAACTGAGTTCCACACAAAACGTTTTAAACTCTCTAAATTCTCAGAGGAATAGTAAAAGTTACTTTTCAATCAAACGAAACGTTTTTAAAACAGTTTGAACAATTTCCTTTTTATTATTTTAGTAAACTCGTGAAAATGTTCGAAATTCCCGTAATTCACTTTGAAGTAGTGTAATTAATTTATAGTCAGACAAAAATCTACAAGTTCTACAATTTGAAAGCCCAATTAAAATTAAAATTATTTATTCTCCTTTTTATTATTTTTATTTTATTACTATTTTTATTATTACTTTCTTATTTTTAATTTTATTAATAACAATAATAATAATAATAATAATAATAATAATATTTATCAAAATCATAATTATAATTATAGGTACTAAATAAGAATAATAAAAAGAATAATTGTCTCGTTAGGGACAGTCGTTAAGGCACTTAGAAGCTCTTATATTGCAACCGGGGTTCGAATCCCTCCAAAGTTAAAATTTTTCTTTTATAAAAATAAAAAGAGTAGTAATTATTCTTATTGTTTTACGTTGTATTTTGCTTTGCTATTTTTAAATATAATTTCTGTAATTGTTTCATGTTTTTGTTACTTATTGATTTTATTATTCTTGTTCTTATTGTTATTTATTATTAGTAATAATTGGTATTATATATTTATAAAAATAAAAAAGTTATTAAAAACCCCGTTTTGGTCAGTAAAAACAAATTTGTAAATTCTTCGCTTCTATTATTTCCTAACAGAAAAAAAAATCAGAATTAAATCAAAGAATCCATTTGATAAAAAAATAAATACTGTGAAAAACAAATTCTATAAATATTTAAGTTGAATTCAGATAAAGTTAATTAGAGACGATAATTTGGATGACTGTCGTTTAAAGTGAAAGCAATCAAACAGCCATAAAACAATCAATACAGGATCTAAATAGCCTTAAGAGTGTTAAAATAGGCAGTAAATTTTGACCGAAACTATGAAACATAATAGTAAATTTAATCCGCTATTTAAACACCATTATCCCGTGTGTTGTATACTCTATAGAGGGTATCAAACACTCGCAGTAGTAACACACTCACACTCACAAACTATAAATACATACGTAAATCAACTTTCGGATTATTAAACTCTCTAAAATATGTATGTACGTAAAATTTGTGCATTAATTTTCTTATTACACAATCTAAAAGGTTTTAATATTAAAATTTTAAATTCGTCATAAAATATAGGATAATATTCGTCGACGAATGTGTCTGTCTGCTTTTTTTTCTATACATATATATGTATACACAATATAATACATAAAAAAAATATCAGGTCAAGTGTGATACTTACGCGTATAAAAAAGTAGACCATAAAAAATATATTGAAAGCTAAGTCTATCTGCTGAGTAATGTTGTTACTCCACTGCTGGCAACGCTCCACCTCCTCGCTGTAACAGATATCAGTGTGAAAAAAAAATTCATTTTCAACATTTTCATATATTTCAAGAAAAATATTTTAAGCATATCTTTCATCAAAAAAATTACTCTTTTTTTATTTTTAATTCAGACAGGAATTTTTTTTTGTTTTTTTAAAAAAAACAATAAATAGGAGATTGAATTTTTTTATTTAAAGATTCACTTTTTTTAAAAATGGAAAATTTTAGTTTTAGAAAATTTATTTTCTGTTTATAAATTAAAATTTAGTAATATTTAGTACGTAAAATATTACATTAGTATTTATTTTATTTCTTTGAATTGTAATAATATTTAAAAAAGAAAAAAAATTATATAAATACAATTTATTGATAAAATATTGGAAATATAAAGAACATCGATTTAAGAAACATCAATCTAAATTGTTTTTAAATAATTAACTTCTTTTGGGAATTTCTATCAAAATAATTGATATACAAAAAAATTGAATTAAGACAAATTTTTTAAATTACCTAATTGAAATTTTTCAATGAGTTTCATTTAAATTTTTGAAAATAATTGAAATTTATTACTTTTGAAAATAATTAAATTACTGCGAAAAATTTAATGCTAAATTTTAGAACAATTGATTTTTGCGAAAAAAAATTATGCAATTTCTGTTTTAAATAATTGAATTAATGTAAAAATTTTTTTTTTTTTTTTGAAAATAATTGAATGTTTGTTAGGAATTTTTAAAAAATTTTGTTTAATAATTAAATTCTTTCGGGAAATTTTATTAAAATAGTAGAATATTGAAAAATTGTATTAAAAATTAAAAATAATTGAAATTCTTCGGATGTGTTATATTATTTATGAAAATAATTGAATTATTGAGAAAAAACTTATAAAAAATTTGTAAATAATTGAATTCCTGTGAAACTTTTATTATTTATGAAGAAATAATTGAAATGAGGGAAATTTTTGAAAATAATTGAATTTTGCAATGAATTTTATTAAAATTCCTTAAAAATAATGTAACTTTGTCGAAGATTATTGTTATTTATTTATAAAAATAATTGAAATGTTGACAACAATTTTTTTTTAGATTTTATGCAAAAATAATTGAATTTCTGCGAAGAATTTAATTAATTTTTAAAATAATTGAATTCTTGTGATGAATATTGTTATTTATGAAAATAATTGTATTTTTCAATGAATTTTATAAAAGTTCCTGAATTGAAAATTGAATTTTTTAGAATTGATGCAATTAGTTGAATTATATTTAAGCAAACAAAAATTTATTTTTGATATAGAATAACGATTACTCACCTGGAGGCATCGATGAAATATATTATAAGCGACGCTATGCTGAGAATGAAAACTAGCACCACCTGAAAAATAAAATAAAAATTGTTTACTTTATGAATTTTTAATTAATAATAATTTATGAAATCAAACATTTTTTTTCTATCAACAATAAATTTTAACCTTCAAATAAAAAAAAAAATTTTTTTCTCGTATACTTTGAATTAGTTAAACGTGAATTTTTATCAATAAATTATTTGATCATTTTAACAATTTACAGAACATTTATTATTATAAAATTAAACCATAATAATTGTTACGCAATGATAATAATAATAATAATTAAAATAACTATATATAATTTTTTAAAATTATTTATTACTATTGCTTTCTCATGGAGGAAGAATTTCATTTTTATTATTATTATTATTTATAATATTATTATTATCATTATTATTATTATTAATAAACTTTTATATTCTCATTTCAAAAAAATACCTTTTGAAATAAAATTAGAGATATGACAATATATTTTATCCAAAAGCAGATTGCAATATAATATAAAAGCTGAGGAGAAAAAATTCGCAGGGAATTTGGAGAATTTTTATGTGAAGCATGAGTAAAGTTCAAATAGCTCGGAGGTTGTGGAATCGGCAATAGAAATAGTGGTGATATAGCTTATATAAAATTTGGCAACGTTACAGCCACAGTGTTTTTTGGAGGGGGGGGGGCGGCTGTATAAAATGCCTCTTGGAGTCTCTTTGAGGTCATATCAGGTCACGTAAAAAATGCCACTTCAATTTTAATTTTTTAACTCCACTTAGCAAAAAACAAGAAAAAAAAATTTCTTCTTAAAAATTTTCAACTATAGGTACTCAATTCTCGCTCTTAATTTTCAGCAAATTTTTAAGAGTCTCTAGAGTTAAGAAAAATACATAACCTTTACTCCCTAGGATGAAAAATATTTTCTAAAATGAAAAAATTTACATTTTTCTTGAACAAAAAATAAGCGGACAATTATGTCCCCTTTTTTTTAATTCATTATTGTGATTTATTATTTTATTTAATTATTCATTTTATTTTATTTAAAAGTATTTAATTATTTATTTACTCAATTATTTATTTATTCATTTATTTACTTATTTTGACATTCACAGATGAATTTAATTTTTACTTAACAAAAAGTACAAAGAAATTGGTGAAAAAAAATTAATTTTCTAATATATTAATAAAAATATAAAATATAATTGAATATTAATAAATTTTGGAAATTAATTTTTAAGCAATTTCAACAGCTGTCAATTTAAAAGCGGCACAAAATCAATTTCATGTCATAAGCCTCATAATCGAGGATCGGAATATATGTTATGGTTTGAATGCCAGCAAAACTAATCGATTGCTGGTCGTTTCGTTTACGACAATAGTAGGAAGAGTTTTACGTTCGTCCCGATTACCCGGTTATATGCGTATTTCCATGTCGAGAGAGTAGAATTAATGACGCGCCGTGCAAATTATTATATTGACAAATAAACCCTTTCTCCCCCACCCCCTTATAATATAACGTGTAGGGACTGAATCCACATTTCGCAAAATTTTATTGATATATCGAAATAATCCTGCACGCTCATATTGTGTATATGTGTGTATAAAAACTTTAAGAAAAACTTTTTAGTTTTTACGCAACAATATTGTTGGGAAAAATAAACTCTTCATAAATTTCATTTATGTATATAGAAGAATGAAATAGTGGATGAAAAAATATGAATGAAATAAACGATGGGAAAAAAAGTTGGTATTTTTTTTTTATATGTGAGAAAATAAATAGGAAATTTCAAACTTTTCATAAAAAGATCCCTTTTCTATTGGGTATATGAAACGTCGAGAGAGAGTTTGATGTTTTGACAGTTATAAAAAATAAAAAAAAGAAAAAAAAAAGGAATATTAATAAACTAGGCCACTCACCTAGCTTATAAGTATTGAACTCACATTCCGCGAATGAATTATAAATTCAATATACTTATCATAGTATATCAATAATGAAAAGTTTCAATTGTGCAATTAATTTCGCGCGGATATAATAGAAATTTGCCTAACTCTCGAGAGGCTCAACTATCGAGAAAATCCACTAATAAATTTATCGTGCAAAATAATTTTTCTTCCAATTATGATTATTATTGTTATAATAATTATTTTTTTAACCACTAATTAATTTATTCTGAAAAATTATTTTTTTCTCATTAACGAGTAATATATATTTATCATACTAAAAAATTTATTCTGCAAAATTATTTTCTACTGATTAAGATTATGCACTTCAAATTTATTCATAGAAACTATATTTCTAAATTACGATTACTGTTTGTATTATTTATCCATAAATAGATTATCCAATAAAATAATTTTTTTTATTATTATTCATCCACTGGAAAATTTATTCAGAAATTGAAAAATAAATTTAAAACTATGAAAAAATTTTCAAGAATTATTCAGGAAATAATTTTTTGACAAATTACGATTATCATTTGTCCACTAATAAAATTTTATAAAAGTTAGAAAAAAAATTTCCCCCCGATAATATTGATTATATTCACAAAATATAACTTTTCGAACTGTTTTGTATAAATTAATTATAAAAAAATTCAGAATTATTTGAACGATTCGTGTAGTTATTTTCCAAATATTCAGTAAGAATTCCTCAAAATACGATTATATTTTGAAATAACTTTCAAAGGTAAAAAAATAAAATTCATTCAAATACAAAATGTATTTTAATGAAATTTAACAAAATTTGTAATTCCTTAAATTTTTTAAACTTATTTTCGGGAATTCAATTAACTTCAAAAAATTTTAATTCCATTTTTTCAGAATTTCTAAATTTAATTATTCAAAACTTCAATATAATTTTTGTTAAACAAATATTTAAAAGCATATTCATATTTTTTTTCCCCACGAATTCAAATTTCAAATAATTTCAATGAAAAACCCCTTGAAATTTAAGTATTTCTAAAAGTTACAACTGCAATACTTTTAGAATCCATATTTTTTAGAATTTATAAATAAAATTAACCAAAATTTTAATAATTTTTATAGAAAAATAATATAATTTTTTAAAACTTTTTTTTAAATCAATTCCTAACAGAATTTAACTACGAGAATTGAATTATTTAAAATTTTAAAATAGAATAAAATTTTTGTAAAATTCAATTATTTTCAAAATTTTCATGTACAATATTCTTAAAAAATACAATTATATTTTTTAATAATTTTTAAGAGAGTGAAAAAATAAAATTCTTTAAAATTTTTAATTTATTTTAATGAAATTTAAAAAAATTTCCAATTATGTTTCAAGTTTTTAAAATTATTTTCGAGAAATCAAGTACCTATCTTTAGAAACTTTTAATTAGAATTTCTGAAAAACCTCATTTTTTCCGAAATTTAATATAAATTTGAAGTTTTTCAAAAATAAAGCAAAAAAATGTTTATAAATTAATTGCAAAATTATTCAAAAATATCAATAAATTCTCTTTTAAATAAATATTTATTTTTTTTTTTTATTATTTTTCAATGGGAATTCCGATTTTCAAATTCAAACCTTTTTGAAATTAAACAACTTTTAAAAATATTGTTATAAAAAATGAAGACGTCGATTACTCCGAGTCGAAGATTCGGAGTGATCGATTTCTTCATTTTTTATAATAATTAAAGATACTGTAACTTCTTCAAAATTATTTTCATATTCAATTATTATCTAAAATGTGAACTAAAATTAATTTTTAAATCAATTTTTATTAGAAAATTCTACGAGAATTCAATTATTTAAATACAAAAATAAATTATTTATTGAATAATTTAATTTTTCTTAAAATTTAATTCTTATAAAGAATTTTATTACCAAATGTTTAAATAATTGAATTCTATAAAATAATTTTATTAAAATTTTCAAAAAACATTAAATTCTTCCGAAGAACTTTAATTAAATTTTATTTTTTGAATAACTGAAAAATTTTTTAAATACAATTTAAAGTTGTATTAAAAATAATTGAAATCCTGCGATGAGTTTTATTATTTATGAAAATAATTGAATTCTTGCTACGAATTTTATTAAAAATTTTCAAAATAATTCAATTATTGAAATGAATTTTATAAAAAGAATTTTTTAAATAATTGACTTTTTTCGAACATTTTTATAAAAATTGTATTTAAAAATAATATAATTCCTGTGAAATTTTTATTAGTTTATGAAAATAATTGAAGGTTTGCGTATAATTTTATTAATTTTTTTAAAAATAATTGAATTCTTTTGGAAAATTTTATTAAAATAGTAGATATTAAAAATCATTAAATTCAAGAAATTTTTTGAAAATAATTGCATTATTTATTGAATAATTGAATGTTTCTTAAAATTCAATTCTTATAAAGAATTTTATTACCAAATTTTCAAATAATTGAATTCTTTTGACGAATTTTAATAAAATTTTTAAGAATAGTTATACATTTTTCAAGGAATTCGATTAAAATTGTATTAAAATTTAAAAATAATTGAAATTTTCCAATGAGTTTTATTATTTATGAAAATAATTAAATTATTGAGAAGAAACTTATAAAAAATTTGTAAATAATTGAATTCCTGTGAAACTTTTATTATTTATGAAAATATTATTTAAATGAGGAAAATTTTTGAAAATAATTGAAATTTTGACAAGAATTTTATGAAAATTTTTAAAAAAATTAAATTTTGAAGAAGAATTTTGTTATTCATAAAGATAATTGGGATTTTGAATAGATTTTTTTCAATTTTGAACACAATAATAATAATTTCATATTTTATGAGTCAAACAAAAAAGGCACAAAAATTCAGAATTTCCTTATGAATTCTAAAAATTTAATTACTTAATTTAATTAATTATTATTAGAATAATATTAAAACTATATTCCAATTCATATTTTATTTTTATGAAAATAAATTTGAATTAAAAATTAATACGTTCTATTATTTTTAAAATTGCTAATTTTATTTAAAAAAGTGAGTAAAAATTGTTGCTAGTTAAATTATTAATTAAATTATTATTTCTCGAATAAAATAACA